TCGGATCAGTTTTAAAGTACGCTGTGCCCTCCTGAATTGATGGGTAGTTGGAATTGCAGGTTGCAGCCCAGATGGATGAAAATTAATTTTGCATCTGAACCCTCTTCCTTTGGGCTCTACACATGGCAGGTGACCCTCAAAGGAACTAGAAAGTTGTGTGTCTGGCTGCAGCCTTTCCCCTTGTGTTTTTTTCCTGGGCTACAAATAAGCCATATAACACCCTCAAGATGTTCAGGAAATGCTGCCTTTAAGTACAGTGGTAGATGCTTCATTGGCTGCTTTGAATTCCAGGTCCTGAGATTGATCCTTTTTGGTACGTGGGCCGTGGTGTTCGCCCCATTGGTCGGTTCGGGAAGAGGCAGCTGAGAAGCGGCCGTGGCAGCCTGAGGCCTGTGAGCAGGCACCTGGATTTCATCTTGAACGCTTTGTGGGAGCAAAAAGTGTTGGACACAGAAGACCATGACTGGTGATCCCCATTCCCCGAGGCGGTGACCCACGCTCTGCTCTTTGAATTCCACCCTCCCCTGCACCTCTGACCTCCAGTTCTGCTTTTGCCTAGCAATCCCACGCTGCTCTTCTTTCTGCTCCTTGTGCACGTTCCTTCAAAAAGAAACATATACAGGTGCAGGTAAAAGACAATGCATGGACACTAGCACCGAGTGCAACCATAGCTTATAAAAATGTTTCTTTGTCTTACCTCCCCACCAATCCCTTGATGCTGTTCACTGTAACGTTAGGTTTATCCGAAAACCACACAGCTTTTGTGCTGGGATTTAAACTCTGCAGTGCTAAGCATATCATGAAGCCTTCCTGTCACATTTCAAAGTCAATGGCTGTTGATATGTAAAAATAAAAAGCAATGGTTGGAAGAAAGAAAAAAGGCTCTCACTAATTTTTAATGTACTGGCATTAATGGCATGAAATGCTGGTGCTCTGTGCGTAGTTTTTATATAGATTCTTAACATCCACTCATAGGAATGTAGCCCTGAACTACCCACTGCCTCTTTATGATTCTTCCTGTATGGCTGGAGAGATAAATTAATGAACAAAAAGGAGCTCCTATCAAAGATAAGTATTTTTTCCCTGTTGAAGAAAAAAAAAAAAATTGCCTAATTAAACTCTTCAGAGTAGTTTTGTGCCTACTGCATGTAATCATGCACCATTATCCAAAAGGGGTAAGAGCCTAAACTAGCCGATTCCCTTTAAAACAACGTTGTCGTTTGTAAGTACATTAGCTGATCAAGCTAAAGTCACTCTGTGAGGATCACAAGCAATGTACCATCTACTGCATTAGTCCACATCAATAAGCCTGGGGCTGTGGCTCAATACTCATGTTTGCCATGGTAATTAACTCTGTTATATTCATAAGAAGTAAGATTTACAATATGTTTAATCTTGATTAATAACTATTTCCAGCAGTAATATTCAAATGCAGTTTAATCTATGGTTTATATCTCAAAAAGGTAGTTTACAATTTAGCTAATAACTGACAGTTAAATCCAGGCCATGAGTCATTCTGCAAAAGACAAATTAGAATGAACTTGCATTTCTAGTTGTGCTTTGTTAAAATTACTACTAAAAGTTAATACTGATTGAATTAATCACTGCAGATAATTTAACCCTTTTTTTCCTCTTTGCGAATGGTTTGTCAGCAAGGAGTGGAATTTTATTATAATAAGGTATATAATACTCCTGTTTATAATACAACATATAACACCCAAAGTGCTACTTAAAACATGCCAGTTTAAATGAATGCTCTCATGGTGGAGAAAATATGCTGATAAAGAAGTATTTTGATCAGCATTCATGCAGTATGAGACTTTGGACTAAGATTATCAGCAGGGTTCTTCCTCAGTTTGTCATTTTGTAGCGATCCCAGTGAGAGTTACAGAAATTCTGCCTGAGAAATTCTGTTTGAGCTGGTATTTTGCCCAATGGACTTGACAGCTTGGAGAAGACTAACCATCAAATGTTCATAAGAGGATCCCTCCCACCCCAGCCCCAGTGGAAAAAGTCTGAACCGAGTGCATTAAAGCGTATCCCTCAGCTAACCAAGGTGACTGCAGAGTTGCAAGTCTCCTGGGTTTAACGGGGGACGGGTCGTTTGTGGACAGGTAGTACCTGAGCTCTGCGTGCGGCAGCGTGTTCTGCTCGCCTCCTGGCCGAAGTGCACATAAATCCAAACAACAGAGAAGAACTTTTGGTTTTTCTTTATGAATCAAGTCCTTGAAAAGGCATTCTTTTCATAAATCGCTTTTACTCTTTTATAATTTCTCTTGACAATAATTCTCGGTGAGTATGCAGATAACAACAACAAGGCAAGCTTAATATTCACTCAGACTTAATCAAATAGATCATATAGTCTTCATTTTACCCATTAAAATATTTTCATTTATAAAAATTAATCTAAATATAAATATTAACACTAAAGATTGAAATCACTTGATGACAAAATAATTCTTTGTGTGCTATAACGTATACTTTTATGATTTTTTTTTAAAACAGTAAATTATATCTTTGCACGTATTTGGCACAATAAACATTTGTAAAAATTCAAATGCCTTATAGCAGGTGGGATTTTTTTTTCTTTTTTTTTTTTTTTT